CGTGCGGCTATAAGTGACCGTTAAATGAAATGATGAATTTTCGAAGGATTTTGAAAACGGAAAAAATGATAGTCATGCCGGCCCAGCATCATCAACATTGAAAAATGCCCCGGCATGAAGTGGTTAACCTTCAAATTGTCACCAACCAGAGATGTTAGCACTCTTACTAAGTTGGAATTTGGCCTCATTTGGTCAGGGAACAATCTACAATTTTAATTTTTTTTTTGCCACAGTGAAATTTTTTTGTCCACAGACATTTGAAGGTGTTAATCTTCCTCAAGTTTTGAACACGTCAAACCCTTCATATACCACAAATGTTCGATCTGATTTGGCAGTTTCGTATTTGTGTTTACTCTCACTCCTATTGTACTTGCAGCTGTATAACTCGCCTTTTTTGTGTTTCCTTCGCAGCAACTCTTCAGTAATCTGGAGCACCAGTTCCGAGCCCTGGTGAACAAGAAGCGCAGGAGCTCCAGGGATGCTGAGGGTAAATCTAAGGAAGCTCGATTATCAAAAGGTATCGATCGATACATTATCAACAGATATACCACCAGTGTTTGTTCAGCTGGGTTCAAATTCATCAGCTTGAGTTCACCTTCCTTTCAAATTTTTGGTGTCTTTTTCAATAATGTGAACTCCTGTCCTGTATTACCCACCTGTACTTTCTTCTAAAATACATGTAACTGGCTTAAAGTTATCTTGTATGTCAAAACTCCCTTTTCCACTAATTTCCAATCATTTCTGACATCTCTCAAACTAAAATTGGCTTGCCCACTTCCAGTGCTGTTGTTGTAAACTGTCATTATCAAAATTCACAAGTGCTACGTTTAACAGAGGAATGTTAATATTCTTCCTGCCTTCATTGAAGTCAGGAAAAGCTAGCCTAGTTAGCAGCTGAGGAGTATGTGATTGGTTAATACTTGTATTGAGTCTTCAAGATGGCATGAGAGATGGACCATTTTTAGAAAGTGAAGTTGAGAAAGTTTCAAGACTTTGATGTCATTGCTGTCCCTACTCACCGTACCCCTAAACATTCCTGAAAGCATCTCGGCTCCTTGGGAAGCATACAGCTTGTTGCAGCCATTTAGAATACTATAAAGACTCTGCCCTGACAGGTGTGCATTTTTACTCCCGGCTGAAGCGGGGCAAGTGAGGGTAGAGTGACTGGCTCAAGGTCACAGCATGTAACCAGCCACTGGATTCAGACTCCTGACCTCGTACTGGAGAGTTACAAACCCTAACCACTGGGCCTTGTACCACTGTTTCTTTGATTAGAATGTGTAACTCGTTCTTTCTGTTTATGCCCAGAATCACTGTCAGGCAGCAGGCCGTCCAGCCCCATTCAGCAACCGCAGAAGCGACGCCACCCATCTACTAACCAGTCCCCGGCTTTGAAGCCAGCCAAGCGCAGTCGACAAGATTCGAGCCGTTCCCAGAAAGCACAGAAGGTTTTAAAACACTGTCTTGCCTTAATGGAAATGATATGGATAAAAGATCGAGGACCTGCAAACTTGGGTTCCTTGATGCATTTTTACACTCAAAGTAGCACTCATAACGATAATCGAGCAGAACACTGTGCATGTGTGATGCATCTTTTGTGACACCTGTGAGGAGACCAGACAGCAATGTTGCCATCGACCTTACACTACTCGATTTACATTTTTATTCCTGGTCACTTGCAATAAAGAACACTTGATTCACACATCAACCTTACCCTCCAGAGTATTTTGGCTAGCATCCCTGCCAGATGCAGTAGTCTGCATCATTTGTCCAAGAGCCTCGCTTGTTCAGAGTAGCACAACCAAACAAGTGAGCTCTCCCAAAGGTTAATCGGCCTAGGAGCCTGTGCGTACCAACCACCACAGGATCCAACAGTAGCATTGTCCCAGCATTGGGAGTTTATTTGGCAATAGTTGGTTGCCTAATACAATAGAGTACACCTGACTTTCATCCTCGCTGCACCTGATGAAGAGCCGTTTTCATTGCACTTGACAAATCTGAGCCTAACTTTTGCTCGGATTTGGTTGTTGTCCAGGGATCGGTCAAGACCCCAGAGCCCGTGCCGCCTGCTCCTGTCACCAGGGACCAACCAGAGCTCCTTCCCTCCCCGACCTCAGCCGAGGCAAGCGAGCTGATGTCTGCCTTGGAACACGGCATGATGGGAGGCAAGAAATGTTATCGGGAACCATGTGAGTTTGCTTTCTCTGATACCCCTTGATCTTCAATTTCGGTGTTGTAGTTGAAATCCCTTAAGACCATCACAAGACCTCCACCAGACCATCACAAGACCTCCATACTGAGTTCAAAGCCAAGCTGTAGACGAATCCAGCCATTTTTCATCGGGCACTCATGGGGTCCCCTTTGTTAGCAGAAAACAATGTGTTGGGTTTTGTGTGAAGTGACCGTCATGGAACAATGGTTCCTTTACAATAGATATCACAATGCTCACTGCCATTGGCGGGAGCCAAAGCACATGACCAGTGATAGCATCAGAGTGATTTACCTGTTCAAATAAGCATTACTTTGTCATTGTTTACCCTATTGCTTATGACTGGTCTTGTGTCTGGTTTTGTGTCCGGTTTTGTGTCTGGTCTTGTTTCAGGTCTTGCGCCGGGTCTTTTGTCCAGTCTTGTGACTGGTTTTGTGTCCGGTCTTGTATCCGGTCTTCCGCCTGGTCTTGTGTTTAGTCTTGCATCTAGTGTCGTGCCTCGTCTTGTGTCTTTTCTTTTGCCTGGTTGTCTGTCTGGTCTTGTGCCTGGTCTTGTGTCTGGTCTCATGTCAGGTCTTATATGTGGTCTCATGATGGTCTTGTGTGGTCTTGCCTACAACACTGTTTATTTGTGAATAATAGTTGTTTCTTCAAGTTCACTGTCAACACCATTTTGGGGTTTCATTGTGATAACAATACCCCTTACAACTTTGTAGTTCACCTTTTTGTTTTGAATTGTTTGAAACCTGCAATATTCATTCTGCTTGTAAAATGTGTCATTGTCGTCCTCAGACATTAAAAGCATATTCTAACACTAATAACAAAATAATAATGTTGCTATAAAAATGTATTTCCTTATCTGGGTGTAGTAGCAGTGCCATGACAGACTGTTTATTTGTTTGTTTCTTGAATTGTTGTCAATTGACATGTGCTTTTGTTACACAGAACATTTGTAAATCAGTTGGACATTATAACCGCAGTTTTTGGTGCCAACATTTTTGTGTCAATAAGTTTGATTTGCTGCACTTTCTTTGTATTATTTCCTCTGTATTGAACATCACATGCTTTGGTTTCCTAAAATCACCAATTAGTTGATTTGCTTATTAGTTCATTCACAGGTTTGACTAACTCTTTGTGCCTTGGTAACTCCAACATTTTGCATAATCCATTTGTAACCAAGTTGAAGAGACCCAAGTTGGAATAAGGACCCAAGTACAAATGGTGTTATTTGGAACAAATGGTTTTCTGACAGGTTTAAACAAAGGCCAAAAAAGACGAAAGTCTCAACAGCTTCTTTGGCATTGTAGTTGTCAAGTGCGAACAAATTTGCCACTTGTTTGGAAAATACTGTCAAATTAGGAATAAAAATGAAGTTTCTGACCCAATTTTAGCTGTATTTAGCATTATTCTTGCACATTTGAAACCAATAGGAAGTGTCTAACACAATATTTGCATTGATGAAGATGTCATTGATGAAGATGTCACAACATGAAGAACTAAATATGTTCTTTCTGTGAAATGTGTATGTGTGAAACATATCAGTGAGTAAATGAACATACATGCAAGACTCATTTTGTGGAATTCACCCTTTGGGGATGTGAACCCGTATTTCAGAATCAAATGCAAGGAGATTTACTCTGTACAACGTGATTGACATCAGTGCCATCCATGAAGACACTCTCCGCAGGCAAACGGAAAAAAGATCACAGTAGAATTGGGACAAAAGCAACTATTTCTAATTTCCCTTGTGTAAAAGAACAAGATTTTTTTTTTATTTTGTTTAATTTTTCAGTGATATTCGACAAAAACACTGGACTCATCCGAGACCCGAGTCGGTGTAAGTTGATTGACCGTTTTTTCATCACATGATTTTCATAGTGACATTAGAAAGAAACAGCTAGCTTCACATCAACTCAAGTGCATCTTTCCCTAGACGAAAGGAAAACTTTCTTTTCATAGATGATCAAGTATACAGGGTTTTAGTCTTTGCTTAGATGAATGTTGGTGTCTGTATTGCAAATATTAAGATATCGCAGCATGAACAGTACATGTAGGTGTCTCAAAATCCAACAATATTGATTTTGAGTTCATTTTAATCCAGTTGAAAGCAAGCGCTTGATATTGTGGAATTACACCTAGATTTACATGTAGTTTTGCACGCTTGCATGGAACAATTTTATTTTGTTTGTACATGTATATGATGGGTTTTTTGCATGTGGTTGACTTGAAAAAGGGTTATTTTGGAACATGACACTTTCTAAGAAAGGAGCATCTTTTGTTTGTATAATTTTGCATTAATATCCCCTTCAGACTCTGTTTCTCGTTATTTTTAAAACGTACATGTGCAGCCATCTATGTATTGGGTACATGTATCTAAAAGTTTAAGATAGACATTTGCATGAAGATGGTTACAGGCACCCCTGGGCCGTACTTTATCTTGATTGGCTGAAACTCGGCCAATTAAATAACCTTATGACTGTGAGTAGATCATAGATACAATAGATTAAGGTGTAAAGATGCTGTGTTGTGATTCTGTCATTGATGCTACAACATAGTATCCAACCACCACACTACCACTTGACCTCTGTTCACCATGGGTATAATATTTTACTAAGGTTCTTTGTACCATTCTGGATTTATGTGGCATGCATATTAGAAGCACTATTACCTTCATTCATTGCCAGTCAGTATATGAATATTGTCAGTCATTTGAATCATACATGTAGGAGGCAATAATTGAATATTGCCGGCCAATATTCGAACATTGACTGACACTATTTGAATATTAGTTGGCAATAGTGAATATTGATCGGCAATATTCGAATTTTGACTTTGCTTTTCATTGCACTGCTGAAATGGTTCCGCAGTGGTAGCCCCCAAAGAGCTGGTCATTGATCTGGACCACAATAAGTACAAGTGTGAGGTGCCGGACTGCGGCAAGGCCTTCCGCAAGGCCAGCTTGCTGGAATACCACCAGAAGTACTATCACATCAGCAAGCCGGCCACCAGCACATCAGCCATGGCTGCAGCCAAGAATGCCGTGACCAGAAGCCGCAAGAGGCTCTCAACATGTAAGCAGACCTTGTCTCCCCTTTCAACAGTTATTGACTGCAGTATCCACTGTTCATATTGGATTCAAACTAGCCAGCTGACCGTGAAAACTTCAGTGGTGAAATGGTAACGATGTCTCGGCTAGTAAGCAGGAGGTTGTGAGTTTGAGTTCCAGCAGTCAAATGTTTCTCATAAGCTTTCATGAAACACTTAACCACATTACTTGATTGCATCGGCAAAAGGGCAAAATGTGTATGTCCCCTCTTTTTTAAAAATAGGGCATCTTGAATATTTCTTGTTTGAACTTTTTCTCCCCAATGTCTAGTTCCAACATTCTTTGCCAATATATCGCCATGAACATTTTGGAGTTAACAAGTGTAACTTCCTGTCATCTTGAAATAATCATGCAGTAATTAACCAGTAGGTTGTACTTAGCCGTTCATGTACTCAATAGAGTGATCATATTATGAGTAATGCACTCAAATAGTCCCGGGGGGGGGGTAATTATGTTGCCTACTATTTTAAATCCATCCTTCTAGGATTCTCCAAAAATCCACCTGGAGGATTATATTGTATTGAGAAATATACAGTCTAATAACTGTTACTTTCCTTGGGACTTGATGCTCCCTGAGTGTTGAAGTACAAAGAATGTGTCATGTTTTCTAAACGGTCGGGGATTTTGAAGGAGTCCTTGTTAAAAAGTCCCCGGAGTTATGTTAAATAAGTTGTTTACCTCGCTGAACACCGCTGGGAAATCAGAGGTGGCCTCATGTGCAAAGCTAATTTTTTTTTTAACTTCAGCTGCAAGTACACCTGGAAGCAGTAAGATGCGTCGCACCGAGAGTGCAGATGGGCCATCGGCCAAAATCACCAGCCGTCAGCATCGCATTTCAGCCCCCGGCATCTTGACCACCAGTCACAAGCACCCGCTGCCATCGCCAAAGCTTGACAGTCTGACCCCGACACCTCCCCATCCCCTCAAGTCCATGTCTACCAATCAGTTTGTGAAACGACAAGCCGTGCCTGATACCAGGAAACCTCTGCCGGCATCCCGGGTCGAGCGGCCGCCTTTAACAAAGCCAGATCTTGCTTCGCCCACTGTGCAGCAACCACAGGCGGCAGCCAAGCCGAAGGCCCAGGGATCCGAGATCACGGCCAAGGTCGCAGAAAGATCACGGAAGGTTTCAGGGTCCACTGCTAGTAAAGAAAGCAAACCTACCACAAACAAGGTTAGTCTCAAAAAGCGTCAGCGCCTGTTGCAATTATTTTCAGATTAATCAAAGTCACCTATCAGCCAGTTAATTTGAGACAGGTTTTTTGTTTATTGACCTTTGCCTTCATGACATTTATTGCCAAGTTGGTAGTGTTGAACTTTCCCGTTGCAGATTTCAATTCCTTTTTCTTGCATGGATTTTCTTGGCACAGTGCCTTTTCCCATGAGATGTATTTCTGTGTTTCACATGTTACTCCCACTTGTCACTATAGTAACCCACATGTTATGTCCCTGTTATTTGCCGACTGTTATGTCATTCCATTCCATTTCCATTCTTTTACAGTCGGAGGTTGTCACAACTACCGTCTCAGAAAAACTTCAACCATCACCAAAAGCAGCGGCTTTGACCTTAGAAACCAAAACCAAAGCTGAGCTGAGTGATGCAGCGCCCACCCAACAGCCTGAGACCAAATCCCAACAAGCACCGGTGGCGCTGGACAGCAAGGCCGACTCCAAGGCCGTGGTGAAAGGTCCCGAGGTCACAGCAGAGATTGCGGCAGCACCACACCAGGCACCGAAGAAGCAGCGGCGGAACAAGCCGCACAAGAAGCATAAGCGGCACAAGGCACGGAGCCGTGACCGGCGGTCACGGGAGCAGAGCCGCAGCGAGCGGCGCCGGGCAGCTGAGCGAGCCAAGCAGCGGCGACTGGAACAGCGGCAGCTCAAGCAGTCCCTGGAGGAGGCTGCCTCCAGGCAGAAGCCCGAAGATGTGATGGAATGGACTGCTAAATATCTGTCTGCTACAAGTAACGTCAAATTTGAATTCTAGGTCCCTTCCACCACTTGTGGACCCCCCTTTCCTTCTCCACTCAATCTGCATTTCCTAATGTCACTTTATAATGAGATCTGTGTATGCATTTAAATACTGTTAAGCGCACACAGCTACTCAGATGGTGAAGTAATGGTCAGACTTGCACATTTTCCAACCGTGTACCTTACTCATCTGAGTAAAAAGTGGATGGCACCCTGTATCTGGCTGCTCATCTGATCGTGATAAACTAGAGATTAAAAACTGAGGATACCCAGCACTTTTTCTTTCTTGTCGTATTTCACCCTTTGGCCCACTTCAGTGACTATGCCTGTTTCAAAGGCTGTGTCATATTGAGCCCTGTTTGAATGTTGCACGAAAATGAATGAAGAGTTAACCTCAAACATCAGTAAAAGATTCATCTACATGGCAATCAAACAAACTGAAAAACTTTTATAGGGTTTTTGGCACCTGTGAAGTTGCCTTTACATGAATTTGAAGTGGACTTGACTTGCCATCAAACCCAACTTGAGAAAAAGTGAAGATTAGTGACAAAGCTATCATCCTCCTAGGTCCTTTGAAATGAGAATAGAAACCTCTCACATTATGAGAAACTGCATGCAGTATGCTATTAAGCTGTCTAACTTTTCCATAAGGTACTATGTCATACTTGCAGTTCAAAACGTGATGGTTTTGTCACATTCTGTGTACTGCCAAGTATGCACAGTTTTCCTGTAACTGAGTAAAACTACCACTTTGGTTCCAACTTTGTTTCCCCTCATACATTTTGTTTCAGCTGACAGAAACCTCCTCCATTCCCCTGCCCAAAGTTCTGATGACCCCATGCTCAAGCCAGAGGGGCTGGACTCCTCCACCACGGAGGATGGGGGCCCCCGGGACATGATCAGCTGCGTCTGCCGCAACCAGGAGGAGGAAGGGTTCATGATCCAGTGCGAGACCTGCTACGGCTGGCAGCACGGCAGCTGCGTAGGGTTGACGGAGTCCACCATCCCCAAGCAGTACATCTGCAGCTTTTGCATCTACCCGGAGAGTAAGTGAAAAATTGTAGAGTTCAACAGATGGTGATGCAAGGTGTGCTTCAAGGTTTTGTGAAGTTTAAAAGGGTTTTGAACCTCAATTTAAACCTCGTTTAATAATATTGCATTCCTTGTCTTATTGTGTTGAGTTAAGGAGGAATGCTCTCATGCCATTGGAAATTGAAAAACACTGTACAAAGACTTGTCAAGATTGGAATTTCCTCATTTTGGGGCGGTCAAAGTCCAAGTTGCATGCCGGAATTAAACAGGAGGTATTTTTGAGGTTTACCTCAAGGTTTTTGTGAGGTCTAATAAGGTTTTAAGCGGTACCTCGCAGTAGACTTGAGTTAGTCCTTGTTTAAGATTGCATGCTTTTTTCTACTGTGTTCTTTTGGGGGAGAATGCACAGTTAGTTGTGTCAGTAGATATGACCTTGCAATTAGTGATAAAAGTTGGCTTGCTAAATGAGGACACAACTTTTTCAAATAGTAGCCGAATGTTCCCTGAAAAAAAAAAATCTTGAAGCAGTAGAACCATTCTGATAATAATCATCTCTTTAAATTCAGATTTGCGGACTCATGCTAGACATCGCTACGACCAGGATTGGTTCCGCACAGGCCAGCTCTCTTCCCTTACGCAGCCCCAGCAGCCTGCTGAGGAGTCAGGTCACCTGACCGAGGCCATGCTGAAGACCCATCAGCTGATGGCTGATATGATCAGCGTGACAGAGGCATTGGACGTACTGCAACACAAACTGGAAATTCTTAAGTGAGTCAGGGATCCAAAACGGCAGGATTGGAGTTTGGGTCAGATTTGGTGTCTGTTGAGCATTGTCAAAGCTTGTCGTCCATTCAACCAACTGGGAGCTTCTCATTTTGGACGCTTATGTGAAGAAAGCCAATAAGCCTTTTGTGAGTTACATTTAAACAAAATCTGGTACACTGAGTTCTTTAACCACTTCCTACCGGGTGGAATTTGCACATGTGGGACGAGTTGCCAGGTGATTTTCAAGATTGTTCGTTTTCAAAATTCGTCCAAATTCATATTTTCATTTACTGGACGCTTACACCCACACAAATGACTGTTTGGGGCCTACTTTAATCTTACAGGCAACCTCCATTGATTCCTGAGTATTGCAGTCAGGCCTGCAGCCCAGTAAAGAGAGCCCACATTGTGCAGTGTTGCATAATTTCCTTTGTTCCCAAAATTGGCCGAGTGCGTTGCTAAATGGCGGTGGCGTCTTTACAAATGCGGCCAGATTAGCGTACAGTGGTATTGTATTTCTCATCATTGGAGTGCTGGAGCACTTTTGTCCCAGCTGATAATCCACAGGCACTGGATGTTGCAGTCAGTGGTATACTGTTTCAAAACACCGACGGATTACCTCCGCTAATGCCAGCACTCTGTGCTGACAGCATATGAAAATTGATTGGCAATGCCCAGCAGCTGAGTCTTTTGTTCCAAGTACAGTCTTTTGTTACAAGGCCCAGCTCCTTTGTCCAATTTTGGGCACCCCGGCTATGCTTCCAAATAAAGGTCTTAGGAACCGGAAACCCCAGCACTGAGTGGTTAAATTCATGTGAACTTAACAATTTAGTTTTTGCAAAGCGACCACCCTCACTGGAATGGACTGGTTCCTTTGTGCCATTCTTATCCATTAAAAGCAGTGTAGTGGTGCAGGGCATCTCTTATGTAACTAAGCAAAGGCTTGCCCTGAATCAAGAGGTATAGCAACAGTATCTTTCGTATGGAGAATTCAAATTGTTCATGTGAAAGTTCATGTGAAAGAACTCAGTGTACCAGATTTTATTCAAATTGAACTTGCAAAAGGCCAATTGCACTGCTGGACATAGAGCGTGCAATCGGTTTATAAAGGTTGGCTTGCAACGTCAGCTTCCTCAAATGGATCTGTGTTTTGGGTTTGTTTTTTTATTTATTGTTGACTGCCTTGTAGAAAGGCATAAGCCCTCTGTTTATGTATTTGGACTGTTTTCAGAAAATAGCATGGAAAGGTGTTCTGTTTTCTCACGCTTTTCACAAACATGTATTATAGGACCTTGGAATGAGGCATACAAGTCAAATCAGTGCATGAATCAAAATGAAAGGTCTCCCAAAATACAGCCAGTGCAGGCAGTCACAAAAAAACTTGTTTGACCCAACTCAACACCAACACTCCTTTACAAGACACAAGATTTTCCCATTTTGAGTTATGTTTATGGATGGTGTTATCTGTCAAAAGCTTGAACTGATAATTAGAAGACGAATTGGGAATCGCTTTGCATTTGTTGTATAAAAATGTTTAGGAAGCAGATTCCTGAAAAAACGATAATGCAGTGTATAAAAAATTTACCGACAATTTCATTTTTGTTTCTTCATGTTAAGAAGTGACAACCATCCTGACCTGAAGCTCTGGTCCTATCACTGGGGGCTGAGAGATGAAAGCACGCCCCTGGATGACTCTGCTCACACCCAGCAACTCCAGACCAGCCTGGAGGAATCAGACGTTCTCCAGACGTCCGCCGAGACCAGTGCCCTCACTGAGTCCATGAGGAGTGACGTCGTTGTTGACAGCATTATGGAAGAAGTTATCCCTGAGGTGGTAGGCACGGGAACCGATGATGTGAGCAAAGAGAGCAGTGGGGCTGCTGCCGGTAACCAGGGGGATATTGGGGACAGTGGTGACATGGGCCTGCTACAAGAGGGCGTCAAACACGCTGAGGAATTTGATTTTCCCTCAGTTGTTGGCAAAACCTTAATCCCAAATAAAAATCCAGTCCCAGAAGAAACTGTTGGCTGTTTGGACTCGGTAAATGCTGAAGCAAGTCCCGTGGAAGTCGATTCAAAAGAACTGTTGGAGAGTTCAACTTTTTCAACACCAACTACCACATCAGACTCAAAACAAGACAATATGTCAAGTGGCAGTGCACCTTCTGTTCCCGACAAGGGCACCCCTTTGAGTTCCACACTGCAAGCAGAAACACTGCCCACTGAAAAGCTGACAGCTTGCATCATCCCAGACCCAGAACAGTCCACCTCCCAGGGAGCCAAGGATGGGGTTACCATTGAAAGTGGGAAACCGGTTACACCAGTGCATGATGGGAAATCAGACAGAGCAGAAAGGGACAATTTGCAGAACCCCAAAGGCAATTCATCTGGAGATGCACATACCATGCTTGGCAGTGGCACATCAAGTCAGGCCTCCGAAGTGAAGGACCCTGTTACCAGTGAAACACAGAAAGTGGGGACCCCAGAGCATGATGGGAAAGCAGACAGCAGCACCAAGGAACAGCCAGCCAATCATGGTGATTCCTCAGATGACGAACCCCTCATAAAATACACCAAGAAATCAGCTTCATCCAGCGAGGCAGAGAATGACACTACATCGGTTGCTGCCAAGGTTTGTAAACATTAACCTTTGACTCTTAAGTTTCATGGGTCAGGTCGCTCCCATTGTTCAGTGGAAATGCAAGAAGACATAGGGCTGGATTATTGCCAGCTTGGCGACTGAAAATTGTGATCATCCCGCATGTGGCACATTATAGTTGTTGAAGAGCCAATGATCAGTTGCCAGTGGACGTTAGCATATCACATCAGAGTTCAAATGATTTTTGAACCCTGTACTTTGACATTATTGCTGACCTAACTTTTCACAATTGGGCCCGCGCACATGATGTCACATCTTGCGATTGAATTTGGTGCATTTTATATATGTGACCTGTCACCACAAAATGAGCCAAAAGTCGGAATAGTAAAAAATTGAGATATTACTTTTCGGTGGTATGTGCATAGAACACTTAGGGTAAAAGTATAAGGTGACAATGTGACATTACTCTAGTAGCTTTCTGTCTTTTTTTCTGACACTGTTTCAACATTTCTGACCGGGCACAAATAATGCTATCATTGAAATTGCTGAGAAAATAACATTTTTAAATATCTGGTCCTGCTAACAAAATTGGAATTAAATAGAGGTATTACTTTTTTAAAATATAACAAAATGCCAATATATGACTTTGAACCCTCAAAACGGGAAAGAGCAGAATGCGACTTTACGCTCATTTTGTCGTGCCAGGTCACATACATGTATGTATCTTGCATGATGATTATGAATTGCCCCAATACGCTTCAGTGCCCATTGGCAACCATCAGCGTCCAGTGTTCACCATCGCATGACCAATAATCAGGCCTTGGATGCGTTATGTTAAAGAGTGGCATGTTAAATGCATCAACACATTGAGAGCACTATGGGCATATAATGCATTATGTGCACACATTTTGGTCATTGGACCTTGGTCTTGCAATTGCCATTTGAGATGGCATCCTTGTCATAGATTGATCACTCTTTGGAGGTGAGAGTCGGACTATTTCTTGGTACAATACTTGTTTTACTCTAAGAGATGTTGAGACCCGTACATGACATGACTCCTCATACTTAAGAATGTCACCCTTATTCTTACAAGTAGTTTTAAGTCCAGAAAAACACTCACCTTTCACATTTGACCCAAGATGGCTGACTTGGAGAAAAGAATTTATTGGCTACAGCTTGGAGAAAAACACACATTATGGGTAGTGGTTGCAGCCGCTAGCAAGTGGCTTTCATAGTTGTATGTGTTATTTCAGCCATAGACCCGTGTACTTCAAGACTGTTTTGATTCGCTTAAGCAAATTTAATCAATAAAGGACCCCTTGACCTAGTTTTTATACCTGAGATTGTTCATTGGTTACCTCATATTGCACATTTCAATGTGAACATATGAGAACATCACAGAAGTAATCAAACATTCTGTTAGATACATCTCATGCAGTCTGTACTGGCTTTGTATATTATATCAAAACTTATTGTAATGATGCATATGTCATTTGCTTGACAGTCCACCACACCGCCACCCCAACCAAGCTCAGAACCAGCCCCCGTTCAGGCCGACCCAGTGCCTTCCGGCAACCCCACCGTGCCACCCAGCATCTGCAAGCTGCATCTCTTCAACCACATCGTGTGTGTTGAGGAGGAGCTCAAGCGACGCATGGACTACGTGGAGGAGCAGATCGAAGGTATAGTATGGCTGATGGTTGCATTGGCCTTGTGCATGACTCATTGAGGGCGTTGCTTCAAATGGGCCTGGTCCACAGGCTCATTGTAAACAAGAGACCTGTGTTTATGTCAAGGCAATAGAGGTTATGTATTAATGTGTCCTCTGAGGGCAAGAGCTCGATATCACTGGGATAAGCTCAGGTTAATCTTTTGTGCATTTGTTGTTACTAAAATGAGATAACAAAAAAGCCTCCGACACACCGTGTAGACGTCAACAATGCATAACCTCTATAAAATTTGAAAGCCCTTCTTCATGATAGTGTTTCCTTAATGAAAAAAATCTGAAAATTTTTACTTGCTTTTCAGCAAGTTGTTTTTGAGCCGCTGCAGAGTCGGGTGCAGACTTCAGGCCAGTTCTTACTTGTGTTGTCAGACCAAATCTTTGTGCTGAGAACTCGCACAAGTTGAAGCTATTCCATTTTGATTTTACTGCATTTTGTGACGTCATCTTTACTTTGCTTTTGCCCATTCCTAAAGTATGAACCATCCTCAAGATGTTCGGTTTTGCGAGAATTTAAAGTCTCAGCACCACACATTAGAGCTGCACTATTTAGGGCGTCCATTCTGTTTGGAAAGCATAATGTTGTGAAAGAAAATGTTAATTGCAAGTAAAGTGAAACTGTGGCACATTCATTTGAAAAAAAAAAGTGTGATAAATGTTACTGGCAAAAAGAAAGTATTTATGCGAGCGTTGTCAGTGTCTTTTACCAAGATGGACATTTAAAAGATTAATTGCAAAATGTGCAAGTTGCCAGTGCATTTGTTTCATTATTACTGCCGATGTCCAAACCTGACCACGAGTGCGTAGGTGCAGTAAACCACAGAGTGAAAAAGTGACATTGATAATGAATGCAATTTCACCCGCATGATTTGTACACCAATTCAATTTTCTTTGAATTGAACAGTTTGCACAGAAGTGAAACGCTCAAATACTTCCTCTTTGCAGCTTTGGAGCTTGCCTTCAACCAATCAGCCGAGAGCAAGGACTCACAGTACAATCCCCCAGACCCCCTGCAGATGAAGCGGACAATCAGCGTCCTCATGGATGATCTGGAGCGGGTCAATAAACTTGTTTCAATTTGAAAGACCGACAAACACACAGACAAACACACAAACACACAGACAAACACAGACAAAAACACAGACAAACACACACAAGCCTCTTTGCTTCCCTCAGGTAAGCAAATACAATTTGTGGTCAGGCAGCGGGAACCATTTTGACGGAGTTGATAAGCATAGATATTTCCTATGCTAAGGCTGTGTCCAAAGACTTGGCTGCGGCTTGAAATTACACGCGACTCTATGGGAAGCGGTTGCATCCACAACCATATATTTGTGTACAGTTTCAAGCCACAGACAAGTACACATTCGGACACAGCTTGAGAAATTTTTGCTTAGCAAAAATGAGCAACCAGTAATACATGTCATGCAATGTTTATGACTCATGGCCGGTTTCCTGCTGATATCTGCTTAGCCTAGAAATGTGCTAAGCAACATTTTCCACTTTACAGCTCAGTGACATGGGGCCAAGAGGGTGGCTAGAGAAATATGGCAGTTGGACCAGTCAAGCAAATAAGTAACATTCACACAATTTGTCAAACTCACCAGCAAAGCGTTTATTACAGCAAGCGTATGAATGCCACTTGTCTGTTCCACCATCCCAATAACTTTAAACTACTATCATGTCATAAATATTCATGATAGCAACATTAATATGAATATACATAAGCTGATTCTGCACACCTTGCAGTCTTACAATGGAAGGTACCAAATTAATATTAATTAGTCAACTATGTTCAGCAGCAAGGAATGGAACAAGACCTTTATAATTGTACTGAAATATGGCAAAGCAGTTACTGTGAAATCTTACAAATGGTAGTTTGGCCAGAGGAGTGGGCTAAATGCTGTTACCCCTGATCATTGGGCTTTTATTCAGTTTTGAGTGCATCTCAACACCGTGGAGTGGATGCACAGCCTTTTAATGTACACAGAAGGAACATATCAGCCTTTTGCCTGCAGTTCCAGTGATACTGTTCAGATTCAAACCCACTTTATGAAAGCGTCTTTGCACTCCTTTTCTTTAGAGTTTCTGTAATGCTGAATAAACTCTGTAGACGTTCTTTTTAAGGAGTTGTAAAATATATACAAAGTTTTTAATGTATAAAAGGGAACATTCCATGGCTTTGAATAGTCTTGATATTCATGTTTTGTCAAATACCTGTGTTTCTTGAACCTCAACCGTTCCAGTAACCTCAAAATTCAGCCGTAGGGTCTTATTGACTGTTATGGATTCATGACTGTGGAGCTGAGCTTCTTTAAGCCTGATTTAAATTACTTGACTGTGGCTGATAGTAACACACACACCTGTGGGATGTGGCTTTAGCTTCTAGACACCGGCTTCACAGGTGAATATGCCATCTCTAGCCTAGCCAAGCCCTAGCCGAGTGATTTGGGCATAGCTTCTTTTTTTCCTTTAAGCTGACTCAGAAGGTTTCTCAGCTTGTCTTTCTGTTCCCTTTTCTTTGTACACTCACTTCAGAAGTTTTCAGAAATTTAGCTCCAAGTGATATTTCTGCTCATCTTTTTATAAATGCCTATAGCCAGAATAACATATCAGTGGCTACATGTTTTGTCAGTAAAGTTGTTTGAATGTTCATATGCACATAAAAAGTTGTTTATATCTTGCTATTGGGTGACATTGGATAATGTAAGGGAATCATAAACATTAGCTTTGTATATGTATGATCATGGTAATAACAAATGGTCAATTAAAGTGTTTTGTTCAACGGAAACCGGTTTCATCTTATTGTATCGTGACTTCATCTGTAATTCTTGTGACCTGAATGACTATTTAGTAAACCTGCTGGGTTTTTAAAATTTTTTTTCTGGGGGGGGTTCAATGGCCACAAATCAGAAGCCATTTGAGAACTTTACCAACCATGATCAGCTGTTAGGAGTGAAGTCACTGTTCATGGGTAATAGATTTGTAAAGATTTTTTCAATGATTGGAGTGGTTGGAACTGGCTCTTCCAAACATTCCGTCGGAGGGATCAGGAACCAACAAGCACCCCAGATTTGTACTTGGAGATCAGTTGTTACGAGTTCCTTATGCTATCAGCAATGTGCGGTATTTCCATATTCCAGGTTATTCTCATCACAGAGGTGTTACAAGAAGGGTATAAAAATATACCTGATATTGGGTATGATACAAAATGCATGATCTTCTACATGTGACCTGTGCTTAAGGTGTAACTCGGAGGTGGTGAATCGGTGTAGGCTGGTAGCTCTATTGTAGTATCTACACGTTGAGTCGCAAGGTAATCTGCCAGATAGAAATCAGGGTTTCAAAGAGACATTAGGGCCCAACAGAGAGGAAAGTCTGCCTGTTCTTGGTTTGTTGAATTCAACAGGCTGTTTGTTCATCTGCTTTTTTCAGGTAGGTGGTAGTACTGAGTTAATTGATTTGCCATTTAGTACTTCAGTGATGGTACGTTATGTCTGGTTGGGTATCCCTCAAAAATGTGTTTTCAGAGCAAGCAACAATCATCTAAAACGAGCTTATTTTTGCCATTCACTGTATACTATAAATTTCTTTTTCCAATAGACAAAAATTAACACATTTTAGCCCTTTTTATTTGTCTGGTATCTTACATGGAATTGACATCAAAGTTTGGACTCCAGCCCTCTTTCTTTCGTCAGTATGAAAAATTGGGAGCGGGGGTGTTGAACCTAATGGCAATCTCATGTTCAAAGGGTGGTGTGATACAGTAAACACATGGATTGGCATAATTCAGTGACCAGTCTATGTGCCCTGATGGGCTGTAAGTGACCAGAAGATCATGTCATTTCATATAGGCCTGTATCAGTGAACTCTGCTTGACCGTGCTTTAGTTCAGGATGGAGAACCCCTAAGAGGTGTATTATAAATCCATAGTTTAAGCCCAGACAATCTCTGACCGTCGTAGATTCAAAGCATTATCATTTGAATGAAATGTCTTATCCATGGCCCAAGCCTCAGCTGGGAACAGCAACCCGAAAGAAAAAATGTGACTTTATTTACCACCGACTGTGTTTGGGTGGTGAGGCTGTACGTTTCGTGGTGCATTCTGCAGTGGTACAATGCCCTCGACATGATACCCAGGTGGCTGCTGCTGATGCTGTTGGTATGGCATAGCAAGCTGCACAGTTGGGTTGTTCCCAGTCACATAGCGCACCGGTGTTTCAAAGCGAACCTATGGAAATGTTGACGATTACGGCAAAAGAAATCCAACATAAGTTTTCCTCAAAGGTCAGTCATATTGGTATTCTTTTATGATACAGAATGTAAGTTTTATTTTACTTTAAGTGCAGTAAGCCTTTCGCAAGTATAGTATACCACGTTCTTTAAATTCATATGAACATTCGGGGGAAGCAAAAGTAAGTGTCTTTCGTCTGGGGAATTCAAATTGTTTATGTGCATTGTGCAATCATATAAATCAGTGTACCAGATTTTATTCAAATTTAACTAGCAAAAGGCTTATTGTTGCATACACACAGGCAGCCATCATGCTGGCTTGGTATGGTGCCCTTGTTGCTATCCAATCTTCATCTGGCTGTTGCATATACCATAATACAGGTGCAGTGTGTTTACATCCAAAATCTGGCACACACGAATGTGAGGCCATTCTCACATTGCCCACTAGTTGTATGGGTGGTCCCTCGGTGACAGAAAGAACACCCCTGGTTGGGGTTAGGTAATGGTAGTACCTGTATACATTTGTTGCGTTATTTTGTATTCTAGTAGCATATACATGTATAGTGTTTTTAATGCAGTGTTTGATTGCTGATTTTGTAGTGACGGCCAGCCGTAGTTTTTTCCAGCCCCTAGTAGGCAGAGTGTAACGTGGAAGAAGCCAGTACAAACCCATTAGTCAGATGAGCCCTGTTCTCCCCAATACATCCATACCAGGACTTGTCCAGACCTGTATTAAGATCACGTAACCATATGTTTGAAGTCCACTTCTTCATTTCAATGAGCGAATATTTTCTTTCAAAGCAACAAACTAAATCTTACCGTTTGGTTTGGCTGTCGGGACGGTGGCGATTGACAGCAAGCGCATCGGTGTCGGCAGCAGTAGGTGGACTGTGTGATTGCCACTACCATCTCCCCAAGTGCCGTGATGCATACCAAGATGTCAATGATGCCGTTACCCACCTGTTCATGATGTAGGAGATACATTGTCATGAGTACATGAATGTACTCATGAGTTAATGAATGTATTCAAACGTTGCTGTTCCACTTGGAATTCTTGAATTTGATGAATGTAAATTTCAGTTTGGTGTTTCACAATTGATTTTTAGCTTAAATTTTGCAAAATCTGTGAGTAGGTGTTATAACACAAATATTGACTGCTTTATCTCGCGGTAAAGTAAAACTATCCTCCCTCGGTGGTCCATGGAGCATTAAAATAGATTGTCCATAGATCACCTTGGGAGGATAGTTTTACTATAACACCTGAAGCAGTCCATATTTGTAAATAAAGTTTAGGACTACCCATACAGCATGCATTAACCCAAAGAAAAACAGCCTTTTGACTTCCATAAGAGTCTAATATTTAGTGTGCCCTCTTCCGTTTCTGATGACCTAGATTGCCTTTTGTTTACCCACGCTGCACTACAGACGAAAAGTCATACAAGACCTGCCTTCGCAAGAGTTGTCATTCAAATGCTCACAGCACTACACTGTACTCAGATGATGTGGACCGCTGGAAAAAAGTTATGTTATCAAACAATGAGACAACGTAATGCTGGCCCAGTGACAGAAATACCATCAGAATTCCTGGTCTTGATTGATAAACTACGACAGGGTCTGTTTCAGTGCCTATGACTGTGCGAGAGACAAAACGAGCACAACGAGAAGTGGGCCTTTCAACTTTGGCAAATGACTATACTAGTACATTGGATACTCGCCACCCAGTAAGATGAATAACCATCATGATGATACTCGTTGGCGGCTGCAATACCTGCTACTGTTGCGCTACAACCCGCTACCACTGCTGAGAACACGGACATGACTAAACAGGAATTGATCTGCAAGACGAAAGAAAGCAAATTAATTCGGAGCTCTGAAATATTTTGCATTGAAGTGTTAATAACTTCTTCATTTCAATACAACCACATCTTGATCATCACCGCTATAGCATAATCAGTTTCGTTTGGAGTTTTGTTTTGGACAGTACTGCCAGAAACACATTTAAACGTAATACCGTTGTCCTAATTTTATCTAGTACTGAGTTCTTTTTTCGGTATCATTACCATTGTGTTTGGCATGCACTACCTTCGTACTCGGCGTGCATGAGTATAGTTAGCCATATGATGCAAGATATGGGGCGGAGAGAACCCCCCCCCCCGCCTTTGTGTTGGTCATAGTTTGATCGGAATCTCAGGAATTCTTTACAGACTTCTAGGAGGGATGTGTTAGGTAACAATAGTCTAGAGTGTGTGTAGGGATTGGACATGGGGGGAGGTACCCATCGGCCCCATATCGTGCACGGTATCTAGTTAGCTCAGTATCCACAACTGCTATCCAATGATCTACAACTTAAATACTAAACTCCAAAATACTGTTGGTCTCGTCTGGTGAACGTCCAATAGTTTTGAAAGTGAATTATGCTGTAACATAAGACTATCATAAAAGTACATGTATATGGTTGTACGGCTTACCACACAATTCTGCATGTTCGTTGGTTTTGTGGACAACACACCGAGTATTCCGGCGGGGAGGTAGAACTAGTGCATGAAAGAAAAAGAATGAAGTCAGTAGTTACTGACGTCAGATTGACATACCACGAGGTGACATAGCGATGACCCAGATGAGATATAAAACTCAGACTCTGCCCAAGATGGAAATTTATTAACCAGTGACTGTAATGTATTTTACTTATAAATTAAAGAAAAGGTAGGCTTGCAATAAATAATAACTGTTGGAGCCTCCGCGAGATTGTACAATTTAAAGGCAAATCCTAGAGACTTAAGCAGTAAGTGTAAAGTCGAATTTCATTGTGCAGCTGTTTGAATCCTGTAGAGTCTGCCCTGGAGTACTCTGTAAATTGTAACTGTGGACTGTAATAATTTCAAGAGAGACTGTTTAAACAAAAGCTTTGCATGACAAAATTACTCTTATTAAAGTGCGAAATCGAGGACTTATCGATCACCAAGTGCACGAAATTCAGGAACTTTGAAGTAGTAGACAGAGAGTGTACTATTGCATCAATAATATTTTGATGGCCGCTTGGTATTTTGAAAAGGTAACTATCCTCGGTATGCAAGCCAAAATTCGGAGGTGGCCAAGTGGTTATGGCTCGCGATTTATTGTCAGAAGTATAACCAGAATATACTTACACAAATTCCAGCCCAGATGGGAAGGCCGACTAAAGCGCCCCAAGTGTTTATTGCAGCTGCCACAACACCGAGCACGGCTGATACGATGCATATGACGATTTGAAGACTTCCCAGCGTCTTGGCCGTTTTGGCCCGGTACCGCCTGGCTGGAGACGTCGGGACGACGGGGCCCAGGATGACGGTCCCGTGGTCGGGAGAAGATCGGGCGGCCGGGTACAGCTGCGGCTGGGGTGATAACCCATTGGCTCGGTATAACTGGTGTTGCTGCATTACCGGTTGCTGTCGCTGTACTTCATACTGCTGTTGCTGTTGTTGCCGCTGCTGCTGCCGAGGGGGACGCGGGCCCTGTTGTTGAGTGGACGCGAACTCCCGATCGTGCTCGACGCGGATGGTCGGTTGGTTGCTGTCTTCTCGTTTGATTTTCTTCACCATCTCGAATGATAACCAAGGTTTGAAATCATTTGCCTTAATTTTGGCGGTTTAGAAATCAAAAGATGAAAGTTGTTGGAACACCACTTTTTGACCTGCAGAGTGACACTGCAGTTGTATTTCGTTTCCTGCGAATTATTTCATGTAATGATGGTGTTCAAGTCTCCGGATCCCTACTGTTGTTTATTTGATAACTTTATTATTATAATTCATGGATTAAATTTAGGATGAATTTTAAGCGTTGTATATTATGTCATTCCTCACTACTCTAAATGGATCCCTTGAATTGACTAGCACAGACATACACATGTCGCAGCTTTTTTAAATTGGAATTCTCCGTTATCGAAGCGTCCCCTTTTTCTAGTGGAAGAGCTACCAAATGTCATTCCAAAACATGTAATTGCGGCTACATCAATTTTGTTCGAAGAAAAACTCTGTAAAAACAGTTTACTATTACGTGTTCCGTATGATCAGCACAACAAAGCATAAATTTGCCAAAATTTGGAATGTTAATGCAGCATAGTACGAAAAATACAATAGCATTACTTTATGCAGAGATACAAACTACAAGATAAATATAGGCCTACATCGATTTGCCTCTTTTTACACAAATGAACTGAACCTTACACAGACTGAACCTTCGTGTAACTGAAAATTCACATTGAGGATTTCGCTTGTACTTACTTTGTGTTAATATCAAATGACGGAAAAACATCCACAGATTCTAGGCTGAAACACATCCATTTCATAGAAAAAGCAGTTCATTCGTATTCACGTCACCTATAGTAGTACTGACGAAAGCGCCAAGGCAAACGGACTTTGGTCTTTATCACACTGCCAGTCTCGGAGTGATAGTCACGCGAAATGTACACTACGGCAGAGGTCACGGGTTTGTAGGCTGCTGTGTACAGTGAACATGTACTTTATAATATACATCCCGGTCAAGTACGGTGGAACTAGGAGTGAAACTATCGCGAACGAATAATGGACAACATGCAAGTGCTGATCGACGGTTCAAAGTTTGATGAGGTAAATACTTAGACGTGCTCAGACTGCTGCCAGTGGATATTAGACGAAAGCTGAATAAAAAAGAGTTATTGGAGCTGATGCCAGTCGCACTGTTGAGTTATGAAGTTGTTTTCAGAGAACTTCTCCAGATCTGTTAAAGGTGGAGCGCACGTGTTTGTAAGCAACTTGACAAGACGCCCATCATGCATTATGTTTTAGGTCTGTTGTTACATGATAAAATTTTCCAAAGTTATCTAGTTGGGGGATTTGGGTTCACAGATCATAACTAATCTGCATCAAGTGGTAGACAGGGCACCGGTCCATTCGTTTCGGCTCGGACGAAACCGTACGCACAAAATATTGTAGACATTCACCATATAGCGTCGTTCGAACCCAGCCCGCCATCATGCTGCGGTCCTTCCCAAGACTTCGCTTCGGCTTTGCACCGTCGATCGGTTGAAGTGACTTGCAATAACAATACCCCCCTAAAAGTTTAAGGGCTAAACACAAATGATTAGTTGTCAACCGAAATTTGTCTTTTAACGTGAAAGTGCCTTTTATAGCGCTGAGGTATATTCACAACACGTACTAAAACTGAACAACCCACAGTTAAGGGATATTTTCCACATTTACAATATAACATGCGTCATCCATATTTAACCATTACAGTTTAACGCATTCGGCTACAGCTATACTGAAATATACAAATACCATTCTCTTTCTCTATTTTTTACATTTTTGGTAATAACAAAACGATTGCTTTGCACCAAAAGAGGTCTCTAATTTGCATCGTCGTCAGAGACTGAAGATATTTTATAGTAGGGCCTACATAACGTCAAAAATATCTTGACCCTTTAACAGTATCTACCAATTCCTAATTAATATTGTTGTTTTGAAAACACGAAGTAGGTTTTACTATCAGCCGTAATTCGTGGTGGTTTTCATTTTTATAGTCTTAAAAGCTATTTTCACAACTACAAAGTATCTTTAGGTGTATTTTTCTCCTGCGACAAGCATCTCTTCGTTGTCTTAATTAAACCCTATTCACTATCGCACGGTTTTTGATGAAAAACTTGAAGCGTGCACGCTAGATCAATCTTCTCATTGGCTGTATACTATTTAAATGTTCTCAAAACCGCAAGACTGAAGGTGGTGGGGAGTTGCCATATTTGGGTGAACTGTTATCAGTAAGGCAGCAACATGTTGCAATGTCTATTTGCATTCCCGAAGTGAACTCTGACAAGCTTTCACTAAGACTGGTAGACCACCACCGTGCCCGCACAGGCAGCGACGGCGGTTACAGTGTCTGTCTCACATAGTAACTTGTCTGTTTCATCAAGGAGAAGGTAGGATTTTCTTCTTGTGCACAGAGCTCATGTTGCAATGTGTCACCAGCCGTCTTTGTTTTATGACACAAAACCAAGTAAGTACCAAAATGGCTACGTGTATGTATCTGACCGGCATTCAGACGCAAGGCGCCAATAGCGTTTGGCGACTGAAGCACATGCAGGACGTCTATTCGCAAGCAGCCTTCTGCGGCCGCATTGGGAAAGTTCAGTTCTAGTAAACATGAACACCGCCAAAAAGATGGGTGGTTTGGACTATCTAGTCGACCACTTGGATCCAGACCCCGGGTCATGCTCGCACCGCTGGTTATTAATAGAAGATTTCGTTTATCACTACGGAGAGAACCATTCACATGAAAAATCATTAATTTTATGATGGGCCCTTTTCAATAGCACCACGCTGCGTGAATTGCAGCCAACGGTGTAATGTGAATAACGATGAGATTTCTTTAAAACCAGACCGCCTAGGGTTGTTCGAGTACAGCTGAATTGCGCCTGGTCGAACTGGAAGAGTTAACCTTCTTTGTCGAAAGTTCAAGGCAAGAGGCAAAAGACGATGAATAGGAGAATTGAGTCACTTGGCTTGGACTCGAGTCGTTATTTTTGTGACTCGTGACTTGACTTGTAACTATCAGTTTTTGACTTGTGACATGACTTGGACTTCCAAAAAATGACTTGCTTCCACCTCTTATTAATAGCCATTGTGGCTGGTAGCGTTTAAGTGACTATAATAGTCCTTTACTCATCATCACTGACGTTATCCGTGGCATTCTGCCCATCTGGAGCCACGCTCTGTACTCGTGCCGCACTCTGCACGTCGTAGCCGTAGCGTGGTATTTGCTCTTGTTGCATCATGACCTGCCTCTGCTGTTGCTGCTGGACTGGGTTCGCCATTTGTGGCTGGGTGTTCTGGTTTGGAGGCACCAAATAATGAACCTGAGGTGCATACTGCACCTAAGATGCAGAGAAAATGATAAAATATTTTTGTGTGAATTTGCTCACGGTTACCTCGGGTAAACCACGCTGCGTCGCGACGCGTCGCAGCCATCCCGGTAAATATATTTCGTAACACTCGATGTGAATGTCAATCAAAGATGATGCCAATATTGAATACTCCTCATAAATGCAAAGTGTAAAGCGCCCTCAAGAGAATTCTTATAAATTATTTGCTCATCCCCAAGAATGTTCTGAGTAATATTTAGGAAAGGTAAGAAAAAAGTGTAGCTTTAGCGGCGAGGCACAAGGGCCGATCAGGAATTACGGTCCAGTTCATAAATTCTGACAGCAGTGTCCAATGGATGTGTCTAGTTTTCAACTCGTACCAAAGCGGCTCAACAGATGCATCCCAGTGTGTGGCGCGTTGAAATGAACCCAAAAGCGCGAATCGCCACCTCTTCGCACCTAGCAAAAGGTTTGCATCCAGTCACGCGGCATACCCAAGGTATCATCCCCAGGGACGCCACACAGCAACTTCAATATTCCAATACCGATCTTACCCTGACAGGGCCAGATGGTGAATTTCGGCAACAGTTACATCTGGCATGGCAGCAGTAGGCCGACTGGGTAATGGAGACAATGATTTCTCCAAGAGAGACAAAAGCCAGCAGGGACCAATAGACCACACGATTACTCTGTAAAGAAAGGCAATAAACCAACTAGTGATATATTGACGCTGTGGGGTTTTTCGAATGAATGAATTAGAACATTGTTTTCATTCGTACTTTGGAACCTTTGGGCAAATTATTCTCCCTTCGAATTTGGACTATGAATGACAAGGGTAGATCTGGCACTACATTGACAATTTCTTGTATCCGCAATTGTACGCTGGAGGAGGAAACGTTGGAAAAAAGCGAGCAGACCGCAGGTAAATATAAGTAAACCACACGACGAAGATATGAAACAAACTAGTGACGGTAATTCATACTTGACGATTACTGCGGGTACTCACATAGACCACGTATATATATTCGTAGTAAGTGTGCTCTGCGGTTGCAACTGCGATGGAGAAAATCATGCATGAGGTTGCCAGTAAGGACGACAGTATCGACATGACCATGCACGAATTCATCTGACATGGGAAGAGAAAAAATATAACCAGTCGCAATGCACTAGCAAATATGAACATTCAACTAAGATAAAACAAGTTTCACAGAAAATTAAGAAGGTAAGATGTTAGCTGTATTCACATCCCCCCCTACATAGCTTTTGACTCTTTGAGGTCACAAATACATGTATCGACCTTTTTGCCTCAGTTGCTAGACCATCAGCCATTGATAGGCCGATCCATTGAGGCCCATCTCATTATCGGCAAAAAGTGGAGGACCAGGCTAGCATCGCTCGTCATCCAGCGCCTGAACAGGGCTGACTGCTTTGCACTGTGATTGGATACATTGTGCACAACCTGTGACCGCGAGGTTATCACTTCCTGTTTGCGAAGGTTACCTGAATTTTTTGGTGCGCCAGGGGCAATGCTTTGATACGGGTAAAGTGTCGGCTGTATGATAAAAACATGGCCTTGGTACAATCACAGTGTAGTAATTTAATGTCTCACTAAGTATCACTGATCACTTGTCTTTTGGCGATATATTTCAAAGCATTGGTTATCTTGATCAATTTTAAGAACGAATAAAGTGTAGGAGACTATTTTCAGCAAAGAAAGCGCGAAAAATATCGCATTGATAACTGCCGCTTGTGTAACGCATTGAGCGAGCTCGCACACCTGGCAGAAATTTACCCACAATGCTCCGCGCATCTTTAGCTGTGACCCCCCCCCCATGTGACGTATTTCCTTCAATGAAATGTGTGCGAGGCCGTCACCCCTTCCCAGCGCCCTCTCCGGGCACTTGGTGACGAGCAAAGGGCCAGGCCCCCAGTCGAGCTGACGCTGGCCCCCCTGCCCATTTCCCCCTACTTCTGCCGCAGTTGCCTCAAAGCAGTAAGCTTTTGGAGAGAGAGGCAAATATCAAGTGAAAAAGATGTATGGTATGGTGTTCCAAAGACGACACGTCACCTCGCCGTCGCATTTTTCTTATTTACCTGTGCACAAATACTTATGTGGCCGTCGCTGTCGCGAATAAGTGGGCTCGTGAGGGCGCCCCATATTGTGCAATCTCCATCTTTTTACTCCTCCATGATATGTGGTTGCACTACACCAAATACGCGCCCATAGAAAACAGTGCAAAATCGGACCGAAATGACGCCGCCTGTTGACTCTCATGAAGAGGTTGGTCTCCGTTTTTGTACTAGAAATTCGAGATTACGGCCAGAAGATCACTTTGCATTTCAATTTCAGGGGAGCTAGCCACGAAAATCTTTTTTATTCGCCTTTCAAGGAAGATAACCCCAAAACAGCAGTAAAACTAAGCGCTCATTTCTGAATGTAGCCTATTTTTCATCTTGAAATTTATCAGAAATTTCTTTGTGTTTTGGAAACTTCTATGTATTGGGCTTGTATAGTGAAATTCGACAACCAGAATTAGAAGCCTGCGGTGGCGCAAAACTCATGGACAGGTGGTACGCGCACGTTGCTTGCCTCCTCGACCTATAGGATGTTGTGATTTGTCAAAATGCACGCGTGTGTCAAGCTGAACAATGCGCGTGTGGGTGCTAAGCCACCGCAGTTCTGGCGTACCCTCGGATTAGTCTATATGTCTTGATGATCAAGTAGGCCTACAATGATATTTTGTGAAAAAATTTGATTTTTTTTCTGACTGGTTCCCAACCATCACCCATAGGATGCTGATTAATAGGCCTAAAGAATTAATTGCCCCTGGGGAAAATAGCTACCTAATTAGCTGGACTGCAATTAACCTTATCACAACCCCCCCCCCGGATTGTGCATGTGTGGATTCTTTCTGCATACCCAAGATGCATTGACAATATCTAAAAAAGTTATTACAGTGTCAGTGGCTTGTGAAGAATTTTTGCGGGGGCATAGGCTGAAATTGCCTTACGATTGTTTTTCAGGCAATGCCCCCCCCAGAGTATGCACTGCTTATGGGGCGCCCTCATACGCACCACTTGTTTGCGACGGCAACGGCGATGGAACACAGTGCCGGTGTTCGTAAGATGGCATATTGTAGTGGGATTTAGATTAAATAAAATCGGTAAAGTACAACTGTGGCAATTTATTGTGGGTTTAGAATTCTATTTCCCAACATTAAGAGGAAAACAAAAACTTGTGTTGCGTATGGAGTACGTTCTTCAGTGCCAAAAGAACGCTGTCATATATTCCATATGGCATATTCTGTATTCCTAAACATTCATTTGCGCCTAGGCGTTCTGAGACCCAAATCGAAATGCACTGCTTTCTCTTACCAAACATATCTGCATGTTCATCGGCTTGGCGGTCAACACACCAAGTATTCCAGCCGGCAGATAGAACTGTGAAGCAGGGATAACAGTGAACAGAATTAAAATGAGGTGGTGTTTGGCTGAGTTGGGCTGGGTGGGTTGGGGTCGGGTAATGGGTTTGGATAGGGAGGGGTTGGGTTGGTTGGGTAGGGTAGGGTGGGATTATGTTCAGTTGGTTGAGGTAAAGTTGGTGCAGTAGGGTATGGTGTCGTGTCGTGTATCGGTGAGATGACAGGGACAAGTTCCAGGATAAAACGAACTTCCAATGTTTCATGCGACACCGAGCTAGTCACTTACATGTCAGTCACAACTGTCAAGAAATCTTCCGCAGTACGCTTACAGGTTGGTCGAATAGCCCAGGGGCTTAAATTTGAGCGATGGGGGTATATATCCCTTTCCACTTTGGACCAAAAAGGGATGGGCTATTGGTTCATCCTCCCACTTTTTCGGTGTAAAAAGGCAGAAATTGGAGGTATTTCAAGTCTTGAACGTCGAAACATCCTACTAAAATGTATTAAATTTCAAGGGAAAAAGTACAAAGCTTGAAATTCGCCGTTTAATTTTAAGCGTAAGTGGTGTAAGTATACATAAGATATACACCTGTATCATTGTATCATGAACGGTCCCCTATTGTTGTGTGATGTCCATCAATGATGTCCCCCCCCCCTTTTTGAATTTCACTTATCCCCGATTCCCCGTCCTCCGGCACGGATTTAAACCACGGAATTTTATGAGATTGGACGGCTTCGGGCGTACTGCATTACATTGCTTTCCCCGAAACGACGTAGCTGCAGATTATGCTTACAAAACATGCACTCCATATTGGCAAACCCAGCCAAGATCCGGTGCTGCCCGCCACGATCGTGATGATACCGAGGATGACTGACAACGTCGCCAGGACAATCTGCAGGATGGCCAGGGTACGGGCGGCTTTGGCACGGTACCGCCGGTTCTTTGGCGCCGGTGCGACCTGGCCCAGGAGAACCGCCCCGTCCCGGTACGGGTGGGGCTGGACGTATAGCTGCTGTCCGGGGACCGGAGCACCGCTGACCACAGGTTGTGGCACAGCTATGAACTGCTGCTGCTGATGTTGCTGCTGTAGGTTTTCTGGATAGAGAAGCATCATGCCAGTCGTTGGCTGCTGTTGGCTAGAGGCATGGGGGATCACTTGGTTTTGCTGGAGTGGAGGCAGGGCCTGTTGAGGGATGGGGTTGGGCCGCTCGGGTTCTTCGAAGCGAACAGTTTTCATGCTGCTCATGTTGCTGGGTGTCTTTTATCGGCTAAAAGATTATACCGGTCACATAGTAAAAAGATACAACATAAACATCGGGTAGCTATAGGATGATGGTAATGGAAAATGAAATCAAACAGAGAGTGAGAGTGAGAGAGACTACAGGAACGGCAAGTTTAGTCCTTAACTTGCCGGGAATTCTGCTGCAACTGGTTCTGTCAGTCAGTAGAGAAGTACAGAATTGCAGTCATAGGAGTAAACTGGCTGACACGAGTAGCTACAGCAACTAAAGGGATGGCCTACAAATTTAAAGTTCCGTAACATGCCCTATCACTACTACATTAAACTTCAGGTTTGTTTAGAAAAAAAGCAGCATGTAGAATGACAAACCTTTTCGGCAGAATTTCGAAAAAACTCCACAAAATAAAAAATAACACACACAACTCTGGATATCACAGCCTCTCAGAAGACTAAACTAGGGCCACCGTAATTCTTTACGACCGTACAATTGAATCATCATTAACATCTGACTCAAAAATGTTCAACGCTGTTCCACACGCATATTGTAACTTGATTGTTAATCATTAATATACATATTTTTAATGATTGTCTACTATGTCAATGTTAAACTTTGAACAGAATATCAACTCCAGAATTCACCGTGCGATATCGGGTAAACTGACCTTCTATTGACCTTGCAAAGTCTTTATTGTGGCTGGGGTTCGGTGTGCTTTTGTCCGTTACTAATCATTAATGTCCATGCACCACGCAACGACTAAGTGAGTAAAGAAAATGCGGAGAAATACAGCGTAATGTTGAGCGCAATTTGACTGGCAGGGCCGGGAAAGACTTAGGTGTATGTGAATTTTTTGCAGATTTTTTGGCCGCGTCGTTGTGGGGCTCTTCGGGGGGGGGGACAGTTCCCACAGTGGGGAGCAGCCCCCCCCCGCCTTGGCCCCCGGCTACACTAATTTTGGACAACAAAAAAATCATTTTACGCTTTGGTGTGTAAGATTCGAACATTTTGGGGCTATTTTGCCTGTCTTCTGGCCCAATTTTGTTAATAAGTCATCACTTATCACCTTCTCTGCTTGCCAGCCATTTATCGGTGGAAGGATAGAATTGCATTGAGTGTCGACTCACCAAGGAAACACAAAACGGAAAGTACGGTATCAGTGCCAAGCGTTGTAGGATAGACCCTACATACAGTGTAATGCATGGAGTTAAGGATAACTATGGCATCTAAACGTACATTGTAAGCTGGTTGGAATCGCCAGTCACAACAATTTGCCAATCTGTCCCAATGCCCAGATAGACACTGATTTTGAAAACGAGCGTTATAAATTAACTTGGTTTAGCTATTCATGTGCACCTGTCTCTTTCACGTGTTGTCACCATGACGACAATGAGCCTCTTGCTTTAGTGCAGAATGGAGGGCATACCACGTTATTCAATGTTCACGATTTATTTTTGCCTTTATGTAGGAAGGTAACGACAGATTCTTGTGAACTTTGTGGTGCACGAAGTGGCCATAAAATTGTCACTTTTGTGACAAAAATAATGCCAACTTTTGCAATGTTGGTGCTTTCCCGGAACCCGGGAATTTTGATGCTCTTCTACTTTGAAACTGTTTATTTGTTGGTACTTTCGAGGCATATTTCTTATTCTTAGGAAACGACTGAAGAAAGTGAAATTCATTCAAGGGTGATCTAATTTCGAATCCAATTTTTACCACTTATCGTCTGGTTCCTTGTGTCAGTGGCTAGCAGAGTGAAATTTCACTCTTTCGAAATAAAACAGTGCTCAACGTCGGACAAAAACGATAATTGCTTCAGGCTGTTCCAGCGTACAGACACGTGGCAACAAAAACAAGTTTTCGTCCTCGGATAAAACTGTCAACTGATAAAAACTATAAATTATTTTGTCTGAAACATCTCCAGTTAAAGTGGTCCCAAATCACTAAGCCTGCATGCACATCCACAAGGTCAGGATGTCGGCTCGACTCACCTTTTGGGTACAAATCTCCCTGCTTCAAAACCACGGTAGAGCCAATCGGGCAAGCTGAACTCCTGCAAAAACCTTAATTACGATAATATAACCAGACTTCATAATGCATGGACGAACAAGCCCGGACGGACTTCGTACCTATGTGGTTCGTTTCCACTGGTCTGGAATGCGGTTCAGTTCTGAATCGGGTCGATTATTGTCTCCTTTAAAAGGGATGCCCAAGGGGTTATTTATATAGGCAAGCAGTAAAGAGAAGTAAAGTATTCGATATGCGTCGAGATATTTTATATTTAGCACAAGGTGGAAACCTGCTCGGTTTGCTAATTACATGTCTTGACTCTCTACAATGCTAACAGTGTCCTACGGGAAGAAGGCACGACTCGTGCGTTTCATAGTACATGACAAGATCCGCTGTTTGGCAAGAATGCTCTATCTCAGCGCAGTATCTTTGAAGCACAGCGGTTTATCGCTTAGTGTAAATAGCCCGTCAAAACCCGTTGCACTTCAGTTTACAGGCCTACTGTTCGTGTGTGTAAACCGGCCCTATAACTGCGAGGTGCCTGTCATAAAACGGAAATGGGCCCACAGTGTTCAAATCACCATGGGCGTAAATCCCAGGGGAATGGGGGTATACCCTCCCACCTTTTGACCAGGGGTGGGCTTACACTGAGCATGGAGGTGTGATTCTACCTCCATGCACTGAGCTATTGAATCATCTCCAAAATTTAGATTTCAAACAACATCATGGAAAGAGTAAACGTGATTTTAGAATTTTTTTATTAAGGAAAATATTTTGATCACAGAACTTATGTTTTAAGTAGGCCTTGTAGGCTCCGTATGAAAGAGTTCGGGGACAGGAATGAAACGTAACATTTTGATTCATTTTGTCAAAATACTCCACAACTGTTGAATAAACAAAATACATCACTTAGTCACTCAAATTCATTCTGTTAGTCTTCAGCTACCTAATTCAATTAATGATACAAGGAAAAAATCAATTTAACAATTGATAATTAGAACTTCTGAAATCTACATGATATATCACAGTAAATCGAACTCACTCTTGTTTATAGCAAATCTTAGAATAGGTAAAATTGGAAAAACATACCAGGGAACGTCTTCTTTTAAACATATCTCATTTTTGATAAAAAATGATGAAGTTTTTGTGCTACTGATTCGTATTTTCCAAAGATCGGTATACCGTGCGGGATGAACAGAACTCAACAGTTCGTACGACGCCAACACGAACATGTATAACCAAATTTACAGCAACGTAGGTTAACTACAGCACAACGCGTGCATCTAATTCTCGCATACAAAACTGCTACGGTATTCATTTGCGGTGAAGAGCATCAATTGCTTGTATTGCATGGAAGTGATTTTACATTTTTCATACCACATACTTCTAAATACACATGGTCAAATATTCTTTATTAAAATGCTGGTGACAAAAAAATCTATTGACAATTACCCTCGTCAAAGTACACTGCAACACATTAAGTTCAGCCACGTAAAAATCAATTTCCTGTCAAGGTCTACGAAATTGACAATAATATACATTTTAAAGGTGGAGGAATCATGTAAAATGTTATCAAAACTCATAAGGAAAAATTCTTTAATACATGCAGTTTGACTCTTTTAGCAGCACAGCACATGTATTTGTTCCCGAATATCTTAAGTTGTCGGACATCGCTATTTTGACAAAATTGCTGGACGAAAAAATGAGCACACTTATTTTTATAACAACGGCTGCGCACAAGTTGTGGTATTTTAACATATTCAAAACCATACTTGGATGACTAAGACTAGCTGCATGCTTGAATAATTGAAACTTGGAAAAGTTACTTCGGTAATATCAGTAAATATACCAGTTTCTGTGAAACACCGCTCAGCTGAAAG